TCTTCCAGTTTGTGATTTGATTTGCTAATTCTTCATTTTCATATAATGCTCATTTTCACTTAACCTACTATTTATACCATACCGTGTCTATAAATGAGGAATGGGTAGAATCCATAATTCATAATGAGAAGCATTATGAATTTATAGACCGTACCGTGTCTATAAATGAGAAATGGGTAGAGTCCATAATTCATAACGAGAAACATCAATTATCCACCCCACCTTTGTCCTTAGACTTGTTTCATGTGAGCTGCTTACTTACGTGATAATGTTTATATTACTATAATATATACAAGTTATATTACTTGTTTTGTGTGAGATGCGTACTTTCGTGATAAATGTTTATATTACTATGAAGGTTTTTCAAAAAGTTTGTGGAAAAATTCCTTTCATCTTGTAATTGAATTTCCCACAAACTCTTTGTGAAGATCCCTTATAATTCTTGAATTAATGACTTTGGACATGTCTTATTGATGTACCATTTTCAAAGAGGAGGATTTATTAAATTTACTTAATTCCCATCTAGTTTTCAATTCTCTGCTCCCAATTTTTTTATTGTGCACATATACATATATGCATATACATGCATTTGTATATTCTTCCGTTTGCTAACTCTGTAAATTTAAATAACATCATATGTCTTTATTTCTTATGCTATCAATTATTATGTAAAATAGTGCGGCTGCATATTTACACTTTGTTGAGACTGGTGGCATTATGCTGTGTATATCTAAATCTTCATGTGTGTTTGTTTTTTCTATAAATTAATCATATATGTTACAATCCTATCATGTTTTTGTTATGACTGCAATTTTTGGTCATTGGGGAGCCAAGAAATATGTGAGAATTAATTTTCCTCCATGTTGAAAGATTATTTTACCCCCTGTGCTTTTTGAAGGAATAATGGTTCTATTTGGACTTTATCTTTCTTGTATAACTCTTGGGTGTTTTGTTTGTTTGTTTCCCTAGAATTTCTGGTTGCTTTTCTTTTGTTCTGTTGGGAGCAGAAACTTCTGCGTTCATTAGAATACTATGATCTTCTAACTTCATTTTCTACTATTGGAGTTTGTTAATTTTCTGTCATGCTAGAATTTCATATCATTATACTTTGCATTTAGTTCTGCTATATCTAGTGCCCTTGTGGTTCTCACTTGGCTGGAGGGAGGTAAAGTAAATCCTTGCACGAATAACAGTTTGTTTATTTGTTGGATAATTGGGATAGACTAGGTGTGGCACTATAGGGTAAGCACTTGACCACAAGGTCAATTTGAACTGCAAAGTTGCAATTCAAACCCATCAGCCACTTCTTGGAAACTATATACAGGGTCACTATGAGTTAGCACCAGCTTGATGGCACTTAACAGCAGCAATAAAGTTCAATGTCATTTTCCTCCTTTATTACATACCTAATGTGAAATTTATACTAGCCTGATGATCTTTCCTTTGTAGGCCGCTATTTCTTCCTTTTAATTTTTTTAGAATGCCATTGGTGTGGGTATTTTCTTCATTCATCATGCTAGATGTGTTTATTCATTCTACAGTCTTTACAAATCCTGTTGTATTATTTCTGTGATGATTTCATTTCCTCTTGTGTTCTCAATTTCTAGACATCCCTTAAGTTGTGATTAACACTATGATTGGGGTTTTTGTTTTGTTTTTGCCTTTCTTGATTACTCAAGGTAAATGCCAGAAAGTCAGACAAATTCAGGATTCAAACCCTTGTTTATGGCTCTGCAAACTGTTTTGAAACTGACTTTTCAGCCTACAGTGTTGTTGTTAAGTACCGTCTAGTTGATTCCAACCCATAGCGACCCTGTATAGGGTTTCCAAAGAGCAGCTGGTGAGCTTGAACCGCCGACCTTGCAATTCTAATGGCTTTGCAGTCTGTCGCATTAACCCACAGTGCCACACCAGGACTCCTACAAAGAGCATAAGAATAATTACCTCAAGGGATTGTCATGAGAATCAAATTAGACTTTTTTATAAGTACTTAGCACTTGTTTGGAACATAGAACATTCATAAAAGCTGTGTCATTGCCTTATTAACTATTCCTTGGTTAAGATGAAGATTTTACAAGAGCATCCATATTTAATATGAGATGACTCTATAATAGGGATCATGCTCTGTGGGTGCCCTCTGGTGGTCATTTCAGAATGTGTCATGGAACTCCTCTTAACCCATCCCGAGTTCTCATGCACCATCAAAGCTTAAATTCACTCTTGAGTCCTTGACTCTGATGCCTCCCCTCTCCCTGCCCAATCTTAACCTTTTAAGATATCACCCATCTCTCAAGGCCCACCTTCCAAGGTATGCGCTTTGCAGAACAATCAATCTTATGAGATGAAAAGGGCAGCTCAGGAGACAGAAAGGGATAGGAAAGAAGGAAGAATGGAAATAGTAAACACAGGGAAAAAGTGGGAAGAGCACTGATGCATATGGGGATTGCAATCAATGTGACAAAACAAAATGTCTATGAATTGTTCAGTGGAAAACCAATTTGCTCTGTAAACTTACATCCAAATCACAATAAAAAGATTTTTTTTTAAAAAAGAAGATGAAGTATTTTAGAGAGATCCTTGCCTAGAGTATGAGATTTCCTTTGACATATTTGGCGTCAGAAGTGGAATCTCAAAGGTGCATTGCCAACTTAGAGGCAAGATAGCAGGGTAAGCAGAGGTACTAAGCAGACCCTCTACAACAAAGGACACCAAGTGAAACTGATACAAATAGTGATCCTGAAACCCTGAGCTTCAAAAGATAGGACCAAGAAGTGGATTGAGTGCCAACTAGAAGAGGAAGCTAAGAACAGGAGCCATGAGAGGAAGAAAAACGAACGGACTGTTAGCTGATGTGGAGTGGGGTGGTCATCTTAAGCTTTGCAAGTAGCTGTCCATACAGTGACCTGCAAGCAAAGGACAAGCCTGGAGATTGGCAGAAAGGGGGTTGTGTGCCCTCCTGGTAGCCAGGAGCGTGTCCAGTCCCTGCACTCACCAATCCAGCAGCCAGTGACACCCACTCATGCACAGCCTCAGCTCTACCTGTGGTTCAGTACCGGGAGTGCCACTCCTGCTTCCAGAGGTGTGTGAACCTGCCCTGGACTATGCTACGCAAACAACAAACAGAAAGTTTCATTCATATTCCCAGTCCCAATCGCATCCACCAGGAAATATGAGTGTCTAAGAATGCACCAACATGCAAACATCAATTAAATATAAATACAAGGCCACCACAATGTCTCAGAGAACACATTTTTGATTTATCAAATATGATAAAATTAAGGTAATTCCAAATAAACAGAAATGAAAAGAATTTGCAAACAGCAGACTACCCTTACCAAAAATACTAAAGGGTGTTCTTTGGACAGATAATCAACAACAGCTGATAAAGCTTGAGACTAACATACATGACTATATCATCCAGAACTCAGTGCAGATGTGTTGCTAGGTGCCGTGGAGTTGGTTCCAACTCATAAGTCTATATACAACTCCTGGTGTGGCACTGTAGTATCAGCACTGGGCTGCTAGCCATGGGACAAACTGTTCAGGCCCACCAGCAACTCCTTGGAAACCCTATTCAGGGTTGCCTTGAGTTGGATTTAACTCAGTGGCACTTCAACAATAACAGCATTGGGTTTCTGATGAGCAATTGGTGGGTTTGAACTGCTGACTTTGTCATTATTGTTCAGTGCTTATTTGACGGTGTCATTAGCCCAAATATAGAAGTATTTGAAGTAAAAGAAACTTCCAAAAAGGCAACCAGAGATACCATTTGCAACAAGAACAACAAAAACAACCAAAGAAAATAATGCAGCTACAATACTTGCAAATGAAAAGAAAATCAAGGAGATTTCAAGAAAAAAAAAAACAAAAACACCCTAACTGTAACCCTTATTCCTGGCCCTATCATAACCCTCACCCTTACCACTAGCCCTTGTACTAACCATAAACTTAACACTAAATGAAGTCCTAAGCCTAGCCATACTCTAAGCCTAACTCCTTATTCCTTTGTTGTTGGGGTCTGTTGATTTGGTTCCGACTCATAGCAAACCCTGTGTAGGGTTTCCGAGGAACAACTGGTGGGTTTGAGCCATCAGCCTTGTGGTTAGAAGTCCAGTGCTTACCAGTGTCACCCCAGGATTCACTTATTCCTACCCTCCCCCCAACACTCCCCAAAACAAAAGGTGCATTGCCTTCAATAACTCGGAGGTATCAAGGACTCAGGCTTTGGGACCAACTGAGCCATTGGTCTCTCATCCCAGACTCTCAAGCATGGTCTCAAAATAAATAGCTTCTTGAATCTGAACTCCACTCCTTTGCATTGTACCTCTTGGAGTTTTATTGAAGAATTTGTTCTTTCAGTTCAGCTTATCTCTCTGAAAAAACAAATGCAATTGCACTCCTTTCAGGACTTAGATGAAGTATTCTAGGAAAGATGACTAACATCTTATTTAGATGAAAAAGTAAAAACTCTTTAATATCAAGATTTTAATGATTATAAAATTCTCTAAGTCCCAGACTTTAAAATCCAAAATTAGTTTTTCATTCATTCATTATTAGTGTACCTACTCCACTTACCAACTATCTTGTTATTCAGTGTTGTGCAATTATGATAATACTTAAAAATATGCTAACCGTTTTGCGCATTAGCAGCATACATCTGACAGAAACGAACTCCAAGGTACAAGTTGAGAGTTACATTGGCCTTGATGGTTAAGGTATGTGTCAGTCTCACTGGGCCATGATTCTCAGTGGTTTGACAGTTATGTAATGATATAGCCATTCTCCATTGTTTTTATCTAATTTGATTATACTCCATTTTCACATAACACTTATTTTTGCATAATAACTTGGCCTTTGGAACGTAACCATGTCTATAAATAAGGAGTGGACATACATTAATATAAATACAGAACTTTACAGTTGCAGCAAGTAAGGATTGCTATTATGCACTCTGTACTAGCATTGTGGTCAACTTAACTTTCTTCTTTTAATAAAAACAGATCTTTACTTCTTGCTGATCTTGATAAAGAAGAAAAGGAAAAAGACTGGTATTATGCTCAACTTCAGAATCTCACTAAAAGAATAGATAGTCTTCCTTTAACTGAAAATGTAAGTAACTTACCAGTATGATCACTTACATAACTAACAATTTAATTTAGAGTCCTTAGACCTACAAGTTTTCTGGGTGGTACTAAACTACTAATGGGAAGTCTGGCAGTTAAAATCCACTCAGAGGTGCCTCAAAAGAAAAACCTGGAGATTTACTTCCAAAAGATCACAGCCATTGGTAAAATGAAGCGTTCATTGTTTTACTCTGAAATGTACAAGGTCTCCAGCTCGACAGCAGCTGGTTTTTATGATCTACAGAATGCTATTCGGCATCAGACCTATATCACACACAGTTTTCTGTTTACATATTGTTATTGTTAAGTGCTGTCAAGTCGGTTCTGACTCATAGCGACTCTGTATAGGGTTTCCAAGGAGCTATTGGTTAGATTTGAACCACCAGCCTTGAGGTTGGCAGTCCAGTGCTTATCCTACATTATAATTAGGTACTGTCAAGTTGGTTCCAACTCATAATCACCCTGTGCACAACAGAATGAAATGTCCAGTCCTGCGCCATCCTCATGATTGTTGTTATGTATGAGTCCATTGTTGCTTCCACTATGTTGGTCCATCTTGTTGGGGATCTTCCTCTTTTTCTCTCATCCTCATTTTACCGAGCATGATGGTCTTTTTCAGGGTTGGTTCCTCTGTGCAAAATATGAGAGACAAAGTCTCACCATCCTCGCTTCTAAGAAGCGTTCTGACTATACTTCAAGAGAGATTGGTTTGTTCTTCTAACAGTCCATGGTGCTTTCAGTATTCTTCGTCAAGACCGTAATTCAAATGGATCAATCCTTCTCCAGTCTTTATTATTCATTGTTTCACTTTCACATTTATATGTGGTGCCTGAAAACATCTTGGCTTTGGTCAGGTACACCTTAGTATTCAAACTGACATCTTTGCTCTTTAACAATACATAGGCCTTTTGTAGCAGATTTACCTAATGCAGTACATCATTTGATTTCTTGACTGCTACTTCCATAAGCATTGATTGTGGATCCAAGCAAATGGAAGTCTTTGACAACTCCAATCTTTTCTCCATTTGTCATGTTACTTATTGGTTCAGTTGTGAGGATTTGCATTTTATTTACAACCTGTGATATGCAGATCAAAGACTACAGCATTAAGTATGAATTGCACCTCAGTTTAAAAAAAGCTAAATTCTCACAAGTGGACTTAAAAATAACATCATGAAAAACGGAGAAAAGGTTCAAGTTGTGAAGACTATTTTGCTTGGGTCCACAATCAGCACTTTCAGACACAGCAGTCAAGATATGCAGATCTCCATTATGCAGATCTCCAAAAGACCTCTTTAAAGTGTTAAAGAATAAAGATTTGACTTTAAGGAATAAGGTGTGCCTGAACCAAGCCATGGTATTTTCATTTGCCTCATATGCATGCCAGTGTTGGACAGTGCATAAGGAAGAACTCAGAAGAATCAGTGCATTTGAATTCTGGTATTTGTGAAGAATACTGAAGGCCCCATGGGCTGCCAGAAGAACAAACAATTCTGTCTTGAAAGAAGTAAGACCAGAATGCCTCTTAGAAGCGAGGATGGCGAGATTTCATCTCTCATACTTTAGGCATGTTGTCAGGAGCAACCAATCCCTGGAGAAGGATATCATGTTTGGTAAAGTGGAGGTGTAGCGAAAAAGAGGGAAGAGGCTCCATTAGATGCATTAACACAGTGGCAGCAACAGTGGGCTCAAGCATAACAACAATTGATAAGGACATCACAGGACCTGGCAGTAATTTTCTATGTTCATATTAATATGTAGGGTTTTCTTGTGGCAAATAGATTTGTAATAAAATATTTGCTAAATCAGTATTTTTTTACATGTGTAATTCAGTGACGTTAATCCCATTTTGAGTCCTGGTGTGCAGCCGTTAGAATAAGCACTGGCTCACAAGTTCGGTTTGAACTGCATAGTCAATAACAGTTCAAACCCACCAGCCGTTCCTTGGAAACAGGGTCTCTATGTGTCATGAATGACTTGACGGCACTTAATGACAACCATCACATTTATCTGGTTCAACTATCACTACAACCCATTGTTCGTAACAGAAATTTAGTGTTTTAGTCAATGAGTCCAACTTGTCTCTTCCTCCCTCCCTCCCACCTCTGGTAACTGTTAATAAACTCAGATCTCTGTATACTTGCCTATTCTAGATATTTTATATAAGTGAGATCATACAGTATGATCTTTTCATAAATATGGTAGAATTCTGTAATAATTAACAGTAGTACCTTTTCAAGGAAGAATAATCATAAGGGAACTGAACTTAGGCTTACCATATCTAGACCAATTATATATTTTACATGAAATAGTCTCATTTGCTTAAAGACTTATGTGACTGTGGGGCAGTACAAGTGTTTTAATTCTGTGTTTCACATCACGGACCCAGAGTGAGCATAGCACCTGTAACAAGTTTTAAGACTCTTTGGAATAAAAAGGAATATAAAAATAATAAATAATATTTAAAAGCCATGTGCCGTCAATTACATATTTGCGTATTCATTTTCTTTTTGTTATTTTATGCCTTTTTGCTTTACTGAAGCAGACAGACACTAATGAGATACTAAATTTGTATTGTATTTGTGGTTTTAGTTTTCTTTGCAAACAGATATGACCAGAAGACAATTGGAATATGAAGCAAGGCAAATAAGAGTTGCAATGGAAGAACAACTAGGTACCTGCCAGGATATGGAAAAACGAGCACAGGTAACTTATTTATTTTGAAATTAAAAATAGCACCAGCTAGGGAAGAGCTATTAGAAGTGAATTACAGCTCTAGTAACATTGATTTAAAAGATACTTTTAACCGTATTTTCACTCAGGTACTATTAACAAAATAAAAATAATTTACCCTGGCTGTTGTTCTGTCTCCACCATATCTCATTTCACCTGACACTATTCTGTTTTACCCTGGAATTAGAAGAAGGAGTAAGAGTTAGATACTGGTATATTGGTAGCTGATGAGTAACTTTAGTTCTGCTTGAGACCTTTACTCTTTGTTGTCTTAAGTATATGTAATGACATTCAGAATATTTCGCTGTTCTTCAAGTTGTGTACTTAAAAAAAAAAAGAAAGAAAAAGAAAAGAAAATCAGAAGCCCTAGTTCAAGGAAATTAGAAAGGAAGTACATAAAGAGAACATTACTGGAATAAATGAGCTGACTTAAGTTGGAGAACAACTCCCATATTTCTATCCTCAACTAATGTCAAGAAAGAATAGTAACAAGCTTTGGTATTTTTCAAGTATTTCCATATATTATTTTATATATGAATTTATATATTTAAATCTCAGTACCATAGAAGAAGAAGAGCTAGAACTGGAATTCATCTGATCTCAGAATCTGAGCAGGGTCAGGCCTGATTAGTATTTGGAAGGGAGACCACCTGGGAATACTGGGTGCTGTACACTTTAAACCACTACACATCTGTCACTTGGTTGTATTGTGGTGGCTTGTGTGTTACTGTGATGCTGTACGCCATGGCACCTGTATTTTAAATAACAGCAGGGTCACCCATGATCGACAGGTTTCAGCAGAGCTTCTAGACTAGAACTCAGAAGAAGGAGGGGTGGGACTGTACACTAAAAACATTATGAATAGTACCAGAATATTGTCAGGTAGACATCTGGAAGATGAGCCCCTCAGGTTGTAAGACATTCAAAATACGACTAGTAAAGAGTTGTCTCCTCAAAATGGAGTTGACCATGATGATGTGAATGGGGTAAAGCTTTTGGGACCTTCATTTGCTGATGGGGCACAACTCAAAATGAGGAGAAACAGCTGTAAACATCTATTAGTAATTTGCATATGGAATACATGAGGTTGTCATACAATTTAGGAAAATTGAAAGTTGTCAAAAATTAAATGGAACATATAAATACTGATATCTTAGGCATTAGTAAGCTGAAATATTGGCAATTTTGCTGACAATCCTATGGTTTACTATGCTATGAATGACAAACTGAAGAGGAATAGCATAGCATTCAAGATCAGAAAGAACATTCAACATATAACTTGAAGTGTAGTACAGTCTGTGAGAGGATAATATACATATGCTTACAAGGAAAACCACTTGATACCACTGTTACTCAAATGTACACACTAACTTCTAAAGCCAGTGATGATGAAACTGAAGAATTGTACCAGCTTCTTCATTCTGAAGTTGATCAAACATGCAATCATGATGTATAGATAATTACTGGTAATTGGAATGCAAAGGTTGGAAACAGAGAAAAGGAGCAGTTATTAGAAAATACAGTCTTGGTGACAGAAATGATTCTGGAGATCACATGATAAAATTTTATAAGACCAATAACTTCTTTATTACATATACCTTTATCAAACAGCATAAAAGATGATAATTACAGATGGACCTCACCAGATAGAATATACAGAAATCAAAGTGACTGCATCTTTGGGAAGAAACTGTGGAAAAGCTCAATATCATTAACCAAAACAAGGCCAGGGCGAACAGTAGAACAGACCATCAATTTCTTATGTACAAGTTCAGGCTGAATCTGAAGAAAATTAAAACAAGTACACAAGGGCCAAAATAGGACCTTGAACATATCCTACCTGAATTTAGAAGGCCGTCTTAGGAGCAGATTTGATGCATTAGACAATGATGACCAAAGACCAGAAGAGTTGTGGGGTGAAGTCAAAAACATCATATAGGAAGAAAGCAAAAGGTCATTAAGAAGACAAAAGAGCAAAATGAATGTTAGTTAGAAGAGATTCAAATTTGCTTTCCAGCATTGTTGTTGTTAAGTGCCGTCAAGTCAGATATTTTATTGGAGTCCTTGTTTGGCACTGTAGGGTAAGCATTGGACTGGTATCTGCAGGATTCGTGGTTCCTCAGACATGCTTTGAGGGTCATATGAGTTGGAACCAACTCGATGGCACTTCACCACCACCAATATTTTATTATATGCGTATGCCACATTTTATGTACCCGCTCATATGTTGATGCACCTTTTGTTTCCACAGTTTGGCTGTTGTAAAAAGTGCTGCAATAAATATTGTTGTTTGTATATCTGTTCATGGTGCTACTTTCAAGTCTCTTGGGTATATACTTGTAGTGGAATAACTGGACCATATTTTTACTTTTTGAAGAACTGCTGAACTGTTTTCCACACCGGCTGTACCCTTTTACATTTCTACCAGCAAAGTATGGGGGATTCTGTTTCTTTACAAAACCTATTGTTTTACTTTATACTTTTAAAATTACTAACAAAGAATATTTTACACTCCGTAAAATTTAGTCTTTAGCACTAATGTTGTTGCTTCTTAAACATAACGTATATATGCTTGAGTATGGTGATAGACTAACATGATACTTAAATGTCAATACCATGATGTATGTCATGCTGTTGTTCTTGTTGTCAAATGACATCAAGTAAGTTTTGATTCATAATGACCCTGTAATAGGCTTTCCAAGGAGTGGCTGGTAGATTTGAAACACTGATCTTGTGTTAGCAGTCAAGTGCTTATCCTATGTCATGCCTATTATTGTCACATAATAGGCACAGGGCTTGATAGTAAGTTATTATATGAATAGAATGTATATATAATATTTTTATTTTTCTCATGTTCCTCTTTTTACTTCCCATACAGATGGATTAAGGGCTTAAATACCAAAAGTAAAACTTCAAAACTTTCAGGAGAAAATATACATTAATATCTTTCTGATATTATGGTAGGAAAGGATTCCTTAAACAATACATAAAGTGCTAATTATAGAAGAAAGGATTAATAAATTTGACTGTATTAAATTAAGAATTTATCTTTATTTGGTACCTAAAGAAAGTGAAAAAGTCAAGTTAAAACTTGGGAAGGAGACATTTACCACAATCCTAGAAAAATGATTAACTTGAGACTTTTCATGGACATTTTGTTCAGATATTTGATGATGAAGCAATTTTTATGTTGTTACAGAGTATAGCATTCTTCATGTTGGGTAGTAAATATTCTAAGAAAATCTTATTCCATATTTTGATAATTGACAAACATTCATTTATTTTGGATGTGGCGAAATGCAAGTTAAGGTTAAAGATACCCTGTAACTAAGAAGAAAATGCAAACAACAGAAATATTTGTAGTGTATCTAACAAGGAGTTAATATCACTAATATACAAGGAATATCATCTGTAAGTACATTGAAAGCAAGACAGCTAAAAAGCAAAACAGAAGATATGAACATGTTCATCACAAAATTATGCAAATGGTTAATAAACAATTGAGAAAAGATTTTTAAATGTCACTAGTATCTGGAAAATGTAACAAAATAAAGCACTTTGCGGGGAGAGGAGTGTATTCAGACTGGGGAAACTTTACATTTTTATGATAATGCAATATTGGTGAGAGACCTGGTGTAGCACTGTAGGATAAACACAGTACTGCTACCATTTAAACCCACCAGCTGCTCTCGGAAACTCTGTACAACAGGGTCACTGTGAGTTGAAACCAACTTGATGGCACACAACAACAGTATTGGTGAGGGTGTGGGAGGAGAAGCACTGAACTACACCGTTGTCCTAAACTTAAATTGCTATATTGTGGAGGACACGGATACTTAACTGTAAAAATTAAAATGCCTATGCCTTCTGATTCATGAATTCTGTAGGATTCTAGAAATATGTCCTATAGAAATATTTACTGTAGGACATAAAACTATAGGTAAATACTATATGATAATCATTGCAGCATTATTTTTGCAATGTACAGAACATCAGTCTGTCATTGGTGGTTATGTGCCATGGAGTCGGTTCCAACTCATAGTGACCCTATACAGGGTTTCCGAGGCTATAAATCTTTATGGGAGCAGAAAGCCTCATCTTTCTCCCACAGAACAGCTGGTAGTTTCAAACTGCTGACCTTAAGGTTCGCAGCTCAATTTGTAAGGGAATTATTAAATAAGTAGTGAGTGTGATGTTGTTATTAGGTGCCATTGAGTCAGTTCCAACTCATAACAACCCGATGGACAACAGAGCATCCTCACAATTATTACGTTTGAACCCATGTTTGCTACCACTGGTTGGGCATCTTCCTCTTTTTCACTTACCGTCCACTTTACCAAGGGTGATGGCCTTCCCAAAGGACTAGTCCCTTCTGACAGCTTGTCTAAAAAATGAGAGAAGAAGTCTAACCATCCTCGCTTCTAAGAGGCATTCTGGCTATACTTCTTTGAAGATAGATTTGCTTGTTCTTCTGGCAGTCCATGGTACTTTCAGTATTCTTCTCTAACAACATAACTCAATTCCATCAATTATTCTATGGTCTTCCTTATTGATTGTCCAACTTTTACATGGATATGAAGCTATTGAAAATACCATGGTCAGTTGAACCATAGTCCTCAAACTACTATCTTTGCTCTTGAACACTTTAAAAGAGTTCTTGTACAGAAGATTTACACAATGTGATACGTCTTATGTTTTCTTGACTGCTGCTTCCATGAGTATTGATTGTAGATCCAAGCCAAATGAAGTTTTTGGCAACTTCTATCTTTTCTCCATTTATCATGCTGTCTAAATAACAAAAAAAATAAATATGGTCTAGTTGTGAGGATTTATGTTTTCTTTACACTGAGGTACAATCCATACTGAATGCTTCAGTCTTTGATCTTCATCAGTGAGTATTTTGGAATCCTGGTGTGGCACTGTAGGATATAGCACAGGTCTGCAAAGTAGGCTTGAACCACAAGGTTGGCTGT